TATCAGTGACTAATACTGCTCATCAAAATAAAATAGCCTCATCTACATCCTCTATTGGATCCAGCCATCTAGTTCCAGACTGTGCCATTAACTATATCGTCTGCTGGGGACATAGTAAAAATGAAACACACAAAGCTGTGTCAGATAACGAGAGTGTGTGATTCACCACACAGAGCCCGTACTTTGGAATATTAAGAACACTTGTACAGTTGAGTACTGAGGTCGCGGCGGCCCATCATTGTGTTAGATTCATGACAAACTTTGAAACTCAGGCAGAGCTGGAGAAGAAAGAACTAAGACAAGGTATTTATCAAGAAATATGTTCAAACGTGAACTGTGGAATGGCGAGTATGTAAAACTTGAATGGCTTCTCTATTTACCATACCAAGGTTGTTTGTATTGTTTTGTCTTCTCTATTCACCATACCAGGGTTGTTTGTATTGTTTTGGCTTCTCTATTCACCATACCAAGGTTGTTTGTATTGTTTTGTCTTCTCTATTCACCATACCAGGGTTGTTTGTATTGTTTTGTCTTCTCTATTCACCATACCAGGGTTGTTTGTATTGTTTTGTCTTCTCTATTCACCATACCAGGGTTGTTTGTATTGTTTTGTCTTCTCTATTCACCATATCAGGGTTGTTTGTATTGTTTTGTCTTCTCTATTCACCATACCAGGGCGGTTTGTATTGTTTTGTCTTCTCTATTCACCATACCAAGGTTGTTTGTATTGTTTTGTCTTCTCTATTCACCATACCAGGGTTGTTTGTATTGTTTTGTCTTCTCTATTCACCATACCAGGGTTGTTTGTATTGTTTTGTCTTCTCTATTCACCATACCAGGGTTGTTTGTATTGTTTTGGCTTCTCTATTCACCATACCAAGGTTGTTTGTATTGTTTTGTCTTCTCTATTCACCATACCAGGGTTGTTTGTATTGTTTTGTCTTCTCTATTCACCATACCAAGGTTGTTTGTATTGTTTTGTCTTCTCTATTCACCATACCAAGGTGGTTTGTATTGTTTTGTCTTCTCTATTCACCATACCAGGGTTGTTTGTATTGTTTTGTCTTCTCTATTCACCATACCAAGGTTGTTTGTATTGTTTTGTCTTCTCTATTCACCATACCAGGGTTGTTTGTATTGTTTTGTCTTCTCTATTCACCATACCAAGGTTGTTTGTATTGTTTTGTCTTCTCTATTCACCATACCAGGGTTGTTTGTATTGTTTTGGCTTCTCTATTCACCATACCAAGGTTGTTTGTATTGTTTTGGCTTCTCTATTCACCATACCAGGGTTGTGTGTATTGTTTTGTCTTCTCTATTCACCATACCAGGGTTGTTTGTATTGTTTTGTCCAAGAAAGTATTTCCCTTTGCTGTATCAGGATTTAAGTACTGGAAACATAACAATCTAATTGTAGAACATGGAAATGAGGTAGTGCATCGCAGGGATATGACTGCCTATTTTCTTCGACTGAAAGAAGCTAGGTCCTTATTAATCAAAGTCCATAGGTCAAAACAGAAGTACTGGCATCAAGTTCTGACTCGTGGGGTTTATGTCGTTTGCTTGCTTGCCTCCAGAGGTTTGGGTCAAACTATTGGGTCAGTAAACAATGGAAATTGTTGAGGTATTTTAGAGCCGCCGAGTGAATTTAACCTTTTTTTGGAAGAGTATCTCAAACTGTATGGAAATGCTGGAAAGGGTAACGCATCATATGTGAGGGCAAATATTTGAGAAAAATGTATTGATCTAATGGGGCAACATGTCCTTTGAGCTATTCTGGAAGAAATTAAAGAGTCAAATCATTATTCAATAAGTTATGATTCCACTTCAGACATTTCACACGTTGATCAACTAACATTTACGGTACGGTACATTCGAGGATGTAAGTCTGTGGAACGTTTTATCAAGTTAATTTCCATATTTTTCCATAGAGCAAAGGATCTAAAAGACACTGTTGTGTATCAAAGGATCTAACAGACACTGTTGTGTATCAAAGGATCTAACAGACACTGTTGTGTATCAAAGGATCTAACAGACACTGTTGTGTATCAAAGGATCTAACAGACACTGTTGTGTATCAAAGGATCTAACAGACACTGTTGTGTATCAAAGGATCTAACAGACACTGTTGTGTATCAAAGGATCTAACAGACACTGTTGTGTATCAAAGGATCTAACAGACACTGTTGTGTATCAAAGGATCTAACAGACACTGTTGTGTATCAAAGGATCTAACAGAAAATATTTTGGATTTCCTGAATGAGAACAAAATTCCGCCTTCAATTTGCCGTGGTCAATCGTATGACAAAGCTTAAAATGTATATGTCTGGACGCTACACTGGATTGCAAACACGAATTTGCCGTGCATGTCCCTTGTGCTGGACACAGCCTGAACTTAGTGGACTTAAAAAGCAGCAGAGTGTTGTCTACAAGTTGGAAAATTCTTTGACTTTGTTCAACGCTTAAATACCCTTTTCTCAGCCTCCACACATCGATGGAATGTTCTGGTATCTTCTGGTATCTTCCTTAGGAAAATCTCTCGTTGTCGTAAAGCATCTGTCTGACACAAGATGGTCGGCACATTTTGATGCCGTCAACGTTTCGAAAAAAATACAAGATGCTCTGGACTCTGTATCAGCTGACTCTGGACCAGCTGACTCTGGACTCTGTATCAGCTGACACTGATCAGGAAAAGAAAAGACGAGGCGTGAGGCAGAAAGACTAACTAATAAAATGAAGAACCTGATAATTTTTCATCATCTGGAATACTGGGATGAATTATAATGTATTGCTGATGCTTTAAAACCATTATTGCACTGGAATTTTTTTTTTTTTGGTATAAATAATTTGAATTAATTGACTTAACCTATTTTTAACTTTATTGAATGTTTATTCTGATTTACAATGTTATTCCTCTTGGTGAGTTGGGTTGGGAGCAATAACTGTCTGCGCCCCCCCCCCTTTTCTAACGACCCTGGTGTGTTGTGTTGCTGGGGGCCCCAGTGCATTGCTGTGCCCACGGCCCCCTAGTGCATTGCTGTGCCCAGGGCCCCCAGTGCATTGCTGTGCCCAGGGCCCCCAGTGCATTGCTGTGCCCAGGGCCCCCTATGTTCTTAAGACGGCCCTGTAGAGGCCGTACGAATTTCCGTCTCGTTTCCGAAAAATGACTTAGGATCATTTTTGACGTAGTTGCAGTTTTGGATGAAACAGAAAAATTAACTTTCGGGTGATTTTCGATTTCGGCCAAAAGTAATTTAGGCTTTGGGTCGTCTACCAGAAGTCAGAGTTTCACTCTGTCTGTCGTCCGGCAAAATAACTTTCGTCATTACTCGAGGGTTTTGTTTTCATCGTATGATATATAATTATAATATATGACTCAACCTGAGAGAACACTGCTACATGATCATCTGCTTGTCCGTCCAATATTTCTAAGATTAAAATTAGACTTGGGCAAAACTAAATATTTTGTTGAAAGAAAATTTAAAAACTTTCGGCCGAAAGTCTCGTCCAGCTTTCGGGAGTCCCGTCCACTCGGGTGCTGGTACTGGTTTTGCTTGACTAGGTTTTTGCTGGGTTTGAACTCCAGCCCACAAGCTGGGACTGACTCAGTTTAGACTTGTAGGGAATTGAATGAGCTCATTCTAATGCAATCATTATCAATCAAACCGCAATGTCAACATTTATGCAAATGACATCTCCTAATTTGCTTAATTTATGCACACACTTTTGTGTACACTTAGAATAAACATTGATTAACTTGCTAAATTTAGTTGAAGTGTTTTTATTGTTGCACCCTAAATAAGTCCCAACAAATATTGGAATGAGTTTTACTGTGAAAAACTGCATAAGATATTCCCATCTTCTTCTTGCTGTCCTCTCAATTTCTACATTGCAGCTATGTGACTGTGTTCATTTTTATTATTATTTTTTTCTAAGGTTTGTTCGCAGAAGAAGGCTTCTTGCAGACAGATTCGTAGTTTAGCTGCATCCTTTTTTCAGGTTTTCCCAAACTTTCCTTTGCTCCTTTCCTTTTACCATACCTGATTGCAGTCTATCCCCCTCAATACCATCAATTGTTTCATTGGGGTACTCATGATTTCTGGCATATTTCAAGGTCACTTATTTTTTTAAGCATTGATCATTGATAGGGTTTACCTGGCACACACAAAAATTGATATAAAATGATGCAACAATCATTCATGGAAGGCGGAACAATCATTCATGGAAGGCGGAACAATCATTCATGGAAGGCGGAACAATCATTCATGGAAGGCGGAACAATCATTCATGGAAGGCGGAACAATCATTCATGGAAGGCGGAACAATCATTCATGGAAGGCGGAACAATCATTCATGGAAGGCGGAACAATCATTCATGGAAGGCGCAATTAAAGGAGCAGAATGAGCAAGAAATGGGAGCAGCTGCTACAAGATGACCAGCCAGCCAATCCTGAGACTTTTATTAGTGTTATTGAGCCAATGGTTCGGCCATTCATGTTTTTCCGCAATCGGCTCTGGGCCAATAGATCAACCCAGCCACCTCAAGAGGGTTATTAATAGAATCAAATTGTACAAAATTCAAGATTAAAATTAAACAAAACAAGAAATATTTGAAAATAAATCCCAGTAAATAAAAATTGGTTTGAGCGAGGTTGATTTTTATTATGTAACAAATTTTACATGAATTAACAAAATAAATGACAATTTAATTAATTCTAATAAAGTCCACTAACAATGCAGACATCCTTGGTAACATTCAGTTGATGGAAGATATCAAATATATCAAAGATCACCTTGTCTGAAATACAGGAAGACAGTCTGCTATTGTTAACAGAAGCGTACCATGAAAAAGAACGCTCAAACTTTAACAAAGGTAAGTAAAGCAACAAATTAAGTTAAATTTATTTGAACTTAAATATTTGATTTCAATTTTCATACAAATGACCACATAGCTGCTGCAAGATGACCACATACTATCAGTCATAGCTGCTACAAGATGACCACATACTATCAGACATCGCTGCTACAAGATGACCACTTACTAGCAGACATAGATGCTACCAGATGACCACATACTATCAGACATAGCTGCTGCAAGATGACCACTTACTATTATAGACATAACAGAAAACAGTTTGAATACCTTGCTACTGGGACACAACTGAGAGATCACTGGAAGCAGTTGGCCTCAAAGGCCATCCTAGCCCATTGGTCTTTGTTTGTACACAACTCCTCTTTATCAAACGTCCAGCCACTTTCATCCCTTTCTTCTGCTACAAAGTGGACATTCTCTGCAGCAGTGCTTCTCAAAGTCTTACAATCCTTAGTGACATGTGCAGGGGATCTCATCCTGTCCCGCATGCTACTTCTGAAATCTAACAAAACTTGACAAGATGGTACAGCTGAAGATATGCTTGGACGATGTCCATCTGCCTTTTCAGGCTGTACCAATGATGTACACGGGGATGAGGTAGGCGGCTGGGGTGGGGGAAACAAAGGGGGTGCTGGAAATTGAGCAGGACCACTCATGTGAGGGGAGCATGTTGGTCTTGGCGAAGTGACCAAATGGGTTGCTAGGAGAAAGCGTTGTTTCATTAATACCATTATATTATTTGAGTTATCATGAGATATTAGCTCTGGCATCTTGGGGTCAGTGGCTGGGCAAGTAATAGGTCTTTTGGCTTCTGGTAATTGGCCTTCAGATGATTTATTAATGTAACTTACAGTTACAGGTGAGTTATTGATATCTGCCGACAGGCCCACAGGTGAGATATTGTCTCCTGACTCATTTACAGGCGAGTGATGGTCTTCTAACTGGACACCAGGTGCGTTTTTAATATATCCTGACTGGGGCGAGTTATTGTCTCCCGACTTACCTACAGGTGAGTTATTAATATCTTTTTCCAGGCCTAATGGTGAGTTATTGTCTCCAGGCGGTACAGTTGAGTTATCATCTCCTGATTGACCGACAGGTGAGTTAAATTCTCCCGACTGACCTACAGGTGAGTTATTAATATCTTCTGCCTGGCCTACAGGAGAGTAATTGTCTCCTGGCGGAACAGTTGAGTGATCATCTCCTGACTGACCTACAGGTGAGTTAAATTCTCCCAACTGACCAACAGGTGAGTTATTGCCTCCTCGTTGGCACACAGGAGATTCATCTAAAGCAGACAAGGGCTTCAGATACCTTTGTACCTCCTCCAGAATGATATTATAATGGTTCTGTACAGAAGAGCTAGAACTCTGGTCTGGTGGGATGTTCAAGGAGCTCTCCCTGGAAAAGAAAACATATTTTTATAACTGATTTAGTTTAGGATCTGGCTAATAATACATACTTTAAAAGTTCATTAAAGGTTTAAATTCATTCTTAAATCAAAGACAATGAAACTCTATAAATCCAACCTTGAAAAGACAGGTAAGTAACAATGCACTGACCAGTCCTTGAGGCTTTTGATGACCATTCTGTAGGAAGTGGTACCAGTTGGCTTTATCAGTGGAACGGGTAGAAGGGTCGCCTTTTCTTTTTTGTCTAGATCATTGATGATATGTTCTGTGTTACAGATACCTGTTGGTCACCACAATGATTTGTTTCATCATATAGATTACTTAACTGTATGATAATATTATGATATGTTCTATATTGTATATACATGTTAGCATTGGGGAAATTCTTTTGGAATAAGTGGTCCTTGCCTTATAAACCTATAGCTTGTTAGGCCGACGTAACTTTAGGAAAAGTATTTGGAGCCCAGGTTGGTCCATGTGTTTGTGTGTGACAAGTGTTTCTTTTAGTACATTTTATGGGGAGGGGGGATTATAAGCATTCGGGATAAAAAGGCATTATGATGACCACAGAAATCTCTGACTCTGGCGGCCATCTCTGACTCTGGCGGCCATCTCTGACTCTGGCGGCCATCTCTGACTCTGGCGCCCCCGGCAATAAACATAAATTCAAACTAGTTTTTGAAACATCAGGAGGTGCGACTTTCGGCCCAGCTAGTTTCGCCCCTTGAATCTACATGGTTCAACTATATATATTTATTCCAAACATAAGGAAAATCCTACTTTTGTCTGTACAAGAACATCATTCACCGCATCCCTGACTTTTTTTTTTTGAAAATTCAAAATGAAGAGCTGCACTATGCACAAACCTGAAGTTAGTTTTGCATCATTCTACACTTATTTGGAGAGGAACAGTAGAAATTTAGATGTCCCTTGACCTCTTTGAGTTTATACAAATGTGTTATTTTCAATTATTTTTAAATGGTCAAGTTATTTTTATATTGTTTATTTATTTGTTTGAACTACTTGATAAATGAAGGAGTTTCAAAAACAATATAAATATGTCACCACCAACATTCATTGCTACATATCACCACCAACATTCATTTCTACATATCACCCCCAACATTCATTTCTACATATCACCACCAACATTCATTTCTACATATCACCCCCAACATTCATTTCTACATATCACCACCAACATTCATTTCTACATATCACCACCAACATTCATTTCTACATATCACCACCAACATTCATTTCTACATATCACCACCAACATTCATTTCTACATATCACCCCCAACATTCATTTCTGCATATCACCATGACATTCCAACATACCCCCATGAGTTGTAGCAAAGAACTCATCTGTCACCCATGAGCATGTTTCCTTGACCCTGTTGTAGTTCAAGACACTGTCATGGCTGCTGGTGCTCCACAAGGAAGGAGGTGGATCATTAAAAGATAACTTTGCCATCTCATCAGATCTTGCAGGTTGTGCTAGAGAGTATATAGATTGCTATTAATAACGACTTGTAAATTTGCCTTAATGTAAGAATAAACTATAAATAGATGTTAAAAGTATTTTCTAACTGGGCACACTCCTTAACTGTAATGTCTTGTTATAGAATGTTAAAAGCTTACATAATAAAGGACAAAATTACAAACCAAAATTTAATTTTTGTCCACTGTTAGAAGCAATGTCAACAATAATCCGCTGTGATTTAAATGACCAGCCATTGAAATCTTTGATGGATTTCACAGCTTCTTCTTGGGTCGCGTAACGAACAAACCTAAGGTTTTAAATATAGAAATAACCAACAAAGTAAGATTTTCAAATTGGTCTACTTCTTGTGGTCTGATATGAACCACTGTTTGGACAATGTTCAATACGTAATGAAAAGTGAAGCTTGCCTCACAACTAACTATGACATGTTGCCTCACAACTAACTATGACATGTTGCCTCACAACTTACTATGACATGTTGCCTCACAACTAACTATGACATGTTGCCTCACAACTAACTATGACATGTTGCCTCACAACTAACTATGACATGTTGCCTCACAACTAACTATGACATGTTGCCTCACAACTAACTATGACATGTTGCCTCACAAATGTCATAATGTATCAGATACAGTCACAAGCAAAATGGTCATTAAAAATGTGAAAGATTTAATGTCTATTGGTTCAGGAAAAATCAATCTCTATAAATGAGTTGGATTCCTGTTTACGTGTCTGTGTGTTAACATGATTTTATCAGGGGGGGGGGGATTAATCAGGTGTGAAATTTGCTCGATTTTTTTACCACTATAATTTCTGATGCTGGAGAGGGTTCCCCATTTAAATGGCAAAAGAAACACAGACGTCCTTTATTGGACTTATCTCAAATGGATTAAAATGAAAGCAATTATTTCAGTGATATTCCACATGCCGGTAATGAGTAGTGACAATATTAGCTCTAACGGTGATAGGACATAAGGGTCAGATATTGACAGGTTTAGCCCTGAGCTTAGTCATATTGTTACAGATAAATTCAATTGGGAAAGGTTGAAAATCGATCAGAAAAGAAAAAGATTGGATCCCGAAGACTTAAAAGACCCACACTAAAGAGATTCAAAGACTTAATGTTTATGTAGTTCTGGAGTATTAATTAATAAAAATGATGGATTTAATAAGTTCAATTGAAAAGGAATTTTAAAACACATTTCATGCCCGCCCCCCCCCCCCCCCCCTTTTTTTTTTTAAAGAAAAAAATTGGAACCCGAAGACTTAAAAGACCCACACTAAAGAGATTCAAAGACTTAATTTTTATGTAGTTCTGGAGTATTAATTAATAAAAATGATGGATTTAATAAGTTCAATTGAAAAGGAATTTTAAAACACATTTCATGCCCGCCCCCCCCCCCCCTTGTATTTTGTATTACAGAAATTTAAAGGTAGTGAATGAAACAATTCACCAATATCACAATAACAATATAGGTAACTATACTTGACATTTTCTCAAATAAAATTGCTTCTGGTATTTCAACAACTTGATTTTATTACAGTTTGAACATTTTATGGAGTATTAGGTTGGGTTGAAAGCAGAAGTTGAGCAGTAAAACTTTACTCACTGTGTAAAGGTCAAGGTCAGTATCAACATACCTAATATAAAAACAAATTCTTTTCATACTATAAGATACCTTGTCCAATTTACTGTCAGAAAATATATACTTATAATGGTCTTTGAGTTCATTTAGTATGTGATTGTGTCATTTTACAAGCATATGAAAATGCTAAAAATGGCTTGTATATACAGAAAAATGTGTTTGATGCAGGGATAATGATTTATTTTGAACAATTGGAATATTAATGTGAACCTTTTGACCTAGACATCCCTGTTCTGAACAGTTACAAAAGTGTCATTTTAAGTAAAAATAAAGACACAGTATGAAATAACTGGCCCTTCCCTTTTTACGCTGTAATTTACTCTAACCATAACATTAACTCTGTCCTTAACATTAATAATGCATTATTTTTGTCCTATACCCTTACCCAAAATTTGATTTGTTTCTATCTTTTCCTTTGATCAAAACATGATCGACAACCTCTCCAGACCCCATAAAAAGGTCGCACAGCTCATTCTGAAATAAAAATTGGTACAGCTCCATCTGAACTAAAAGGCGGTAGGCATAAATGTACAGCTTCTTCTGATAGTTGAAAGCAATTTCAAAAATGTAAATTATTATTTTATAGGCCTACACAAGTATTCAATCAAAGAAAAAGTTGTGTTTTCAAGTTTATCTTTTAACCACTCTGTTATATAAATAATGCATCATTATTAAGGTTATAAGAAATAATGGTTTACATTAAGGGTTTGTTTTTTTTTTATAAATATTGGGTTATTCATTTACCTCTGAAACATCTTCATGAAGATTTCCTACAAACACTGAATAGAGATGACTAAATTTTTCTGCCATTATTTCAATTAAAGGAACTGATAGCCTATAATCAGAGCAAACATAAGAAGAAAAATGATTAATTTGCATGAATTTGAATTACTGTGTCTGAAATCTTTTATTTTCAATTTTAATGTAACGCCCAGGTCCAAACTAATGATTCAATATAATAATATAATTATAATGATATTATTTATAATGATATTTATAATGATATTATTTATAATGATATTATTTATAATATCATTTATAATGAGATAAATATATTATCAAACCATATTAAGATATTATCAGCTCTTTTTTTGTAAAAAAAATAGGTGAAGGTACTCAGTGATGGATTGGCTAACTTTTAACTACCAGTTCGCACCTCGAAACAAGCTAAATCCCAACTGCAAAGATGCAATTTTAAAATAATTCAATTTTAACAAATTAATAATATAATAAATTAATAATAAACGTTAAAATACAAGAAAAGTAATAATTTTTTCCCCACATTGAAAAAGGTACCGGTACGCCGTACCGGTGCATACCGTCACAAAAAAAGCACTGGATATTATATATAAAACCATTCAAAAACCTAAAATTAATACTTTATTTTAAGTTTATTATATTATTTGTGGCTCAGTAGAAATGTTAGGCTTACTTACCTAAAAATTATAACTTGAAAACTACCTTTTATAGTTTACTAGCCAATATACCCGGCACGGCCCGGGATTGCATTAGGACCCCAATTCCAGCACATTCCCATTTCCCAATGGGATCCCATTCACCGATTGGATCGTGTAACCAATGGGTTCCAATGTACTGTTGGATCTTGTTCCCCATTAGGATCCTGTTGCTCTTAGGGATCATGCTCAGTGCGATTTTGTTCGGATAAGCTTTTAGAACCCATTATATAGCCCATAGAACAATATAGAACCTTAGGAGCATTCTAGATTAAATTTAATATCCTACATGAAATGTGTAAAAAAATTACTTTTCTATGTGATTATTTCTCGAATGCGAAATATTATACAACTAAATTGTACTACTATAATTATAGTACATTTAAATTGAAATAATGACCTCTGTAGGGGCCCATTTAATAAAGTACCATTTTAGCTATGTCAATGATTGGGGGGAGGTGGGGTGGCTATAAAAATCATTCAGATAAATTGTGGAGTTAAAGTTTAAAATTTGTCCCATTAAAATCTATTTAATAAGGCCATAGATATAGCTTTTTAAAGTTATAAAACTTTCTGGAAAATTCTAGATTTTATATTCTTAGTTTTAAATCCACCGAAATTTCAATAAGGACGATGAAGTGCATTGCTACCAAACTAGGCCTATATCCATGAATTCACATAGAACCTACAGTGTTCTCTAAGCCTATTGATATTTATATAGCTTCAATAAGGAGAAAATAAAATGGGGCCCCGGCCCAAAAGAATGGATATTATGAGTTCAGTACCTTCCAGTATTTGAATATGGGTAATCAAGTGTAAATGTACTAAGTTTGGTCAAGATGCATCTATTCATGTAGGAGTATTAAGCCTAAGCCTATTGATATTTATATGGCTTATATAAGGAAAAATGAAATGGGGCCCCCGGCCACAGAGGAATGGATATTATGAGTTCAGTACCCTTTGGTATTTGAATATGGATATCAAGTGTATGTGTAAGGTGTCCACTATTTGAGCGGACAGTCCGCTTTTTACACATTATTTTCACTATTTTTTTTTCACAAAATAGTGGACATTTTTTTAAATTCAAAAGCTTTATGATGAAATGGTAAGTAATCTAAAGCTGTACAGTCTAAGAGAATAAGGATAGGAGGATCGCGTTTTGTCTTCTTTTTTCATAAGTTAGAATGAGACAAATAGATTGAATATCCATTGAACTCAATTCTCCAAAAAAAATTATTAATCCCACTATGATACTCAATTGTTTTACAAGACATTGAATAAAAGTATATAAAATTATTTACATGCTATTTAGTTGGATAGGTATGTTTGGAACACTCAATAACGTAGCATCATTTGAGGTTCAATGTGAAAATATATAACTTTAATTGTAAAATGAAAAAAAACTACTTAAACCCCCCCCCCCGCTTGTCAGCTATTTTTTTGGAAGCAGACCTGGCAACCCTATGTATGTGTACTGAGTTTTGTCAATAACCATCTATTAGTGTAGGAGTATTAGTAGGTCATTTTATTTATATGACTCAAATAAGAAAAAAAAACAAATTCTGGGCCCCCGGCCCCAAACGGAACATTAAAAAAAAGTTCATAACCCCTTATGAGCTCCTTCCAGATAATGATGCCATCAATTATCAATGATGGATATATTTGCCAAGTTTGGTTAAGATTAAGAACCATCAATCCATGTAAAAGCCTTTGTGGAACAAACCCACAAACAAATCCATAAACAAATTATATATATATATATATATATATATATATATATATATATATATATATATATATATATATATTATATATATATATATATTTATATATGTGTGGGTGTATAGATATATATATCTATATATATCTATTATATGGCCGGGAAATGTGTAATTATCAGATTCAGGCGAAATTCGAAATGCATCAGCCTAGAACTAGAATGACAAGAATGATAAATTATAAAATACAACCTGTCATTACTGTCAACAACTAACTGAATTGACTGTGACTGAAGATAACTCTTTGTTGCATCTTAACAATTTTTAAATAAATAATAATTAGTCGTAAATGATTTTGTAGGCTACTTTAATACTATTTACGCAGGGATAAATATTGCTTAACTTAGCCTGGCTTAAAAGTCCTTTTGCCTTTGTTTGCTTGCATTGTCGCCATCATTGTCATTTCTATTTTCAGTTCTATTCTATCCAACTAAATTTTAAATTTAGTTTTAGCATTCATTAAGTTTACAAAAAATTATTTTCAATAATGTTTTCGTTTTTTTTAAATATAAAACAGTAAATTTACACATTAATTCAGGGCCAACCCTAAATTATTTAATACTTTAACAATTAATTTTAGTGACTTTCACTCACTTTTATTTTAAGATCAATCGAGACAATCATGTAACGAGCGTACACAATACATACAGCTGCAATCAGCGATAATGCAGGCAATCTGCCGCTGTGCGGTACCCGCCGCAGCCTATAGATCTTATAATTAAATTGTTTCGTCTTTTAACTCATTAAATAAACCTTTAAAAAATGCATTGACAAAATCAAAATGTTGTCAAAATATGGTATGGTTTTGAATTCCTATGGTAGACCCAGGCCCCGTTTAACCATTATGCGAACTAGGCGGCCGCCTAGGGCGGCAAATTTTTAGGGGGCGGCACTATTAATTAAATAATTAGGGCTGGGCTCACCGCGCTGTACATAAAAAATTTTATCAAAAGAAACATAATCATGACATTAAAATAAAATACATTTATGAAATAAAGAACGTATATTCACCCACCCCACCACATAAATTTTACAAGGCAAACCATGGACGGCAGCCAGCAAGATCGTTTATCGGTCAGAGGAGGGGAATCAGTCAGGGTAGTATAATTTAAAAAGATATGTTTTGAGTGCAGTTTTGAAGGCCTGGGTGGTTGGTATATTGCGTATGTGTAGTGGCAAAGAATTCCATTGTTTGGGGGCCGCTGTTAATAGTTTTCATGCCTAATCATGCATCTCTTATATATATTTTTTTCTTCTGGTATGGCTGCTACCTATTCACAACCGGCCATCCCGCTACTCAATATTTATTTAATATTAATGAGTGGGGAGGGGGGAGCTGTAGTGCAGCGAGCATCATGCGTGCCGTTTGGACCCAGGTAAGAATGTTGACCTTTTTTCGGAAATGACTATTAATTATACAATTTATACTAATCAATAAAGAGCTACGGGTATTGTGCAGAACTTCTGTAGGAATGTCTGTATGACTATTTTTTTTAAATACCTAGCTTTTGCCCTAGTTTATTCTCGCCCCTTAAATCTTTATACAGCCCAGAAAATTTTTGATAAATTCAAAATGCAAGAATGAATTTTAGCACATATCTTAATTGAGTGTTACATTTTATGCTTAATTGGAGCGCAATGGAAGAGATTCTAGATGAAAAATGTTGGTGTACCTTGGAATAATCGTGTGCGCCCCGCAACCCCTACGACTGCAGGGAGCCTAGCATATTTTAGGGGCTTACAAAGGGCCGTCTTAAGAACATAGGGGGCCCTGGGCACAGCAATGCAATGGAGCCCTCAGCAACACAACACACCAGGGTCGTTAGAAGCAGTGTTATTTCATAAATTCCCCCCCAGGGGGGGCACTTCAGATTTTTCGGGAGGGGGGGGGGCAGTGCCAGCAGTTCCAGTTGATTTATTGTTGGACATATTTTTGCTCGGGGGGGGGGGGCACTTGGCTTTCCC